TATCTGCACAGAAGAGTCGAGTGTGATGTCTCTTCTGCACAACAATATATGTTATTCCTGGCCGGTAATCTTCTTCCAAGCTTATACATGCCTTTCGAATTGCTATTAGTTCTGGCCAAGCTACCTAGGAGACAGAAATAGAATAACATGTCATTGAGAACTCACTTACAATCCCTCAGATTTGATGTACTGAATGACAAACAGGAGGAAAGTCCATCAGATTCTCAGAAGTCCCAAAGGGCAACCCTGGGCTAGTGTGAGTACCTGTTTCATTTGTCCCTCAGACACCCCTCCGCGGTAATAGATGATCCGAGTGGGTTTGAAGCGAGTAGACTTGTAGAACTGGATCAGCAGTTCTCGAACCATGTTAGTCAGGTCCTGGATGACCTCCTGGCTGTAAAGGAGCTCCTGGGAGATCTCCTGCCTGGATGTCTGCACCCGGACTGTGGCACAATACCGGCTGGGGTGGCCATCCATGCTGCCCACCACTGCTGCAATGGAGGGCTTCTTACCATCCCCCGCTGGTGGGTGCGTGACATCTGCTCCCAGGAAGATGACAGGCTGCTGGAACACTGAGGGCCTGCTCAGATTTAAGGAGATGGTGCCACACTTACACATACAGGTGAGAAAGTTTGGGTCTAGAAAATTCTGTCACCAGACATAATCATAGGTGCAATCTTAGAAGACAGGACTTGTGTTCACTGAGAGAAAATCTCAATTCTTTTTAAAATGTGAGACTTACAGAAGAGAATCAAATCTATTTTTTTCCTGATTTCATTTCTTCTCCATAGTATTTATAATTTATACTATATATTGTACTTACTTATTTTATTTTTTGTCTACATGCACAAATATATTCTCTGAGGGTAGGAATTTGGGTTTGTTTTCTTTTCTCTTTTTTTTTTGTCTTGGTCACTGCTATACCCCTAGTGCCTAGAACACTGCTTAGTTCATACATGACATTCAATAAATATTTGTTGAAAAAATGAATTCATTTATTTGGCACTGATTTATCTACATAAGGAATCAAGAGAGAAAACAGTCATGCATTCTTCTCGGTAAAAGCCTGCCAAAAAAAATCAGACACGGTAGTACACACCTGTAATCACAGCACTTGGGAGGGTGAGGCAGGAAGACTGTGAATGCAAGGCCTGCCTGGGCTACATAGCAAGACCCTGCCTTAAAAAGAAAGAGTGAGATAGAATATTATATGAAGTTTTTTTAATTCTTAAATGTAGGGGTGGGAGGCATGGCTCATCTGGTAGAGAACTTACTTAGCAAGTGCAAGGCCCTGAGTTCAATTTCCAGTACTGCCGATATATACATACATATATAATAAATTCTTTTGTGTGTGTGTGTGGTACTGGGTTTGAACTCAGGGCTTCACACTTGCTAGACAGGTGCTCTACCATTTGAGCCATGCCGCTAGCCTGATAAATTCTTAAATGTAGCATTTGAGAATATATTTAGTTTTTTTTATTTATTTATTTTGCAGTACCAGGGTTTGAACTCGGCCTCATGCTTGCTAGGCAGCATTGCAAATAAACAAAAAACCCAAAAAAACCCTGTTCATCAGAAGCCACTATTTAACAGAGTAGAAAATAGTAGTTAAAAAAAAAAGACTGAGAACACAATATTAAAAATGGGCAAAGAAGTCAGATGCAGTAGTGTATGTCTGCAGTTCCAGCTACTCAGGTGACTAAAGCAGGATGATCACTTGAACGCACGAGTTCTTGGCCAGCCTGGAAAACACATTAAGACCCTGTTTCTTTCTTACTTTTCTTTCTTTTGTTTTTTTTTTGTGGGCCTGGGGATGGAACTCAGAGCCTTGCACATGCCAAACAAGCGCTCGACCACTAAATTACATCCCAGCCCTTGACTTTTTGAGACAGGGTCTTGCTATGTAGCTCATGTTGGCCTTAAATTCGCAATCCTCCTGCCTCAGCCTCCTGAATGCTGCTGGGATTACAGACATGTGCCACCAACACCTGGTTGAAATGTGTGTCCTTTATCATAAGTTATGTAAGTAAGATTTTTTTTTTAAAGTAGGAAAAAGAGAATTCAGTGTCTTACCTTTGATGAGGTACAAGCACGTTGTTAATTCCTCCAAGTTTTGCATTTATCTTCAGGCAAAGGTTTGAGAGAGTTTGGGGTGAAGTCTTCACTACATTTTTTACTTGGACGCACTGTGTGGCCATACCTAGAAGGGTATCTCCAACACGCTTCACCTCCGCTACAAAAATTAATTAATTTAAAAATGTTTAGTCTCTTAATTATTATTATTATTTTTATTTTTTGGTGGCACTGGAGTTTGAACTCAGGGCCTCACAATTGCTAGGCAGGCACAGTCCCGTTTGAGCCATTCCACCAGTCCTAGTCTCCTAATTATTAAGAGTAAAGAAAAAAAAATATTGACAGAGCACCTACTATGCATAGAGCTAGATGCTTCTCTTGCATTGGTGCTTTCATCGTTAAACTCTCAGTGTAATTTTTCCCCATTTGAATAGGTCCTCTTCCTCCCTCTTACTGCAGGCCTGGAAGCTGGCCTGCCTCCTTTATTCTTTGGAGCTGCCTGCCACCACTCGCTCAGTCCCTTGAGGTTTCTTCTCCCACATGACTTATCTGGCAAAGGAATCAATCGCCCCAGCTTCTCCCTCTTAACACATACATACATACCCGCCCTTTTTAAGTTTTCTTTTCCCTAAGGGCTAGGGATAAACAGAAGGCAACAAAAGGAGCAAAAATAGAGAGGGCTGAAGACATTTAATAAACTCTAAAGCCTAGTCTAGTTCCCACAATCTTGATTTAGCTGATAACCAAAAGAACTTTGTATCACTCTTTTTGTAATGGATACAGACTAGCCAGATCCTCTTCTGGAAGTGGGAGGCTCTGCCATTCCTCTCACTCTGATATTCCTAAGTGCTTTTCACCACACATTCCAGTTCTCCTGGTAGCCTCTTGGACTATGGTAGGATTGTACAGCATTTCCTGTCCCTGTTCCCTCTCCTACCTCCCCCGCAAGTCCCCACAGGCTGGGTAAGACAGAAAAGAAAGTTGGGGACAGGAACATTCCAAACAGTGGCTGTTCTGTCAAGTTGAGTGTCAGAATAGAACTGACAGCATGATAACACAAAGAGGCCACCATCTATCTCACTGGACACATAGGAGGAACAAGACATAAATCTTTGCTGTTTGGAATGTTGTTTTTTGTTTTTTGCAGTGTTGGGATCAAACTTAAGTCTCTGTGAATGCTAGGCAAGTGCTCTACCACTGAGCTCTAACCTCAGCCACAATCTTTGTTGTTTGGAATTATTGAGAATTTGGTCACTTGTGGCTGTAGCATTACCTAGCCTATCCTGACTACCAAACCCACTACTTGAAATCATTCCTCATTCAACATTAAAAAGGTTCATACCATACACTGGTGTCTTTCCAGGCAAGATAACCACTATTAGCTGTAGGCCCACATATGTCATTTTCAGATGTTTAAACATGGGCTCCACACTGTCTGCACCTTGTGCGTACTTGCAGAAGCATGGCTGACCCTGGATGGGCATTCCTGCGTCCTTGGAGATTTTACGTAGTTGATCAGTGAAACTCCTGTTAAGACAGAACCAGTGGCACAGTGCTTTCATTTCAGTGCACATGTCAACAAAGAAATCTTTAACCAGTTGCCAAAAATAGACTGGCAGTTATAACAGAGAAGAATCTGTATTAGTAAGCAATCAAATTACCATTTTGAATTTTTATTTTATTATTTTTTTTATGGTACTGGTAACTGAATCCAGGGCCTCATGCATGTTAGGTGCTCTACCACTGACCTATACCCCAGCCCCCGTTTTGAATTTTTAAATAATTATGGCTCATGTGGGCCTCAGGCATTAGAAATGCATTCTTGGTCAAAGGTGTTTTAAAATATTGAAATCAATAATTCTATATTGAAAAGAGGGCCAAGATTTCAGGTAATACAAATTTTAGTAAGGTTGTACAAGAAAAGTTAGATAGGTTTATTTTCAACTGACAATCAAACTTGTAACAAACTTGGTTCAATAAATACCAAAAGAAGTCATCAGCCAGGCCCCGGTGGCTCACACCTATAATCCTAGCTACTTGGGAGGCTGAGATCTGGAGGATTGAGGTTTGAGGCTAGCTCAGGCAAATAGTTTTTGAGACCCCCCAACTCCAAAATAACCAAAGCAAAATGAACTGGAGTTGTAGCTCAATTAGCTACACCTGCTTAGGAGAGCGCCTGCTTTGCAAGCACAAGGCCCTGAATTCAAACCCCAATCCCATCAAAAAAAAAAAAAAATCCTCATTTAAAATCCATTTTGAAGTTTAAAATTTTTGATTTAAGAAGTTACTTCAATAAATGCATAAAGCTGGCAGGATAATCTCTTTTGTATATTTGCCAGAATCTTGTAGGATTCCTTTTTTTTCATCCCAGTTCTGTTTTCTTGATTTTTTTTTCATCCTTTAATGAACCTCCTCTATATAGATGGCTGCAACTGATGTGAACCAATACTCTTAGCTAGTAACCTTGAAGTAAAACAAGCTCACTAGTAAATTATAATGATTAAAAATCAACTAATTTTTTATCCTTATCTGAAAAAATACAATTAATATCAAAGAAAGCTTTTATTAAAAACTGAAGGATTTGCCAAGTAGCATTGCTTCGGGTTTGCTACTCCCAAATTTCTGCTCCTCATGTATGGAAGCTGAGTCCATTTCTTATTGTAAGTCCCAAGTTTGCAATTTACTGTAATACAAGGTCTTGTTCACATGGCCAGATGGCATCACTATGGGAGTCAGGGATTTTGCACCAGGGTACACAGCACATTCACATGACAGTATTTTCATAAGCTGAAAACATGAAGATACTCACTTTAGTAAATCTTCCCTACATTGTTTCTGAGGTGCAAAACAAGCCACTGCCCAAACTTTAATTTCAATGCCAGCATAAAACTGTTTTCCTCGCATGTCCCAGACACCCTGATTGGGAGTGGCTACTGTTTTATTCTTTAAAAAAACAAAAAGAAGAAACAAAAGAAAAGAGAAAAGGCATTATAATGAAAGGCCATTTTAATGTTGAGAAGGGAAAAACAAAGTTTGATTAAGTTTAAACCAGAAGACAAAAGACAACAATGAGTACAACTCTGGGTACATTCAATGTTGCATACTAGAAAAACTTTGGATTTTAATCTTGTTTTGACTGGTGTGGGACAAGCTTGCTGAGATAAATAAAAAGCTTACCCGGCCTCCATATTGCAGCATTGGTGCTGGAAGTACCCTGCCTGTGAGTTCTGTCATTTCATTGTGGACCACAATCCCAAATTCTTTAAGGTATGGGTCAGGTCCACCCACCATGCTGTTGCTCTTCACCTAAAGAACAGGAAAGCCTGCATATATAAAACCAAGAGTAACCGTGTCCCGTCAGGAACGTTCTACTCTTGTGTTTTTCCAGACTAGAGGTGGCAAACCCTGAAGAACATGCCTTACTGACCAGCCTACTGATCTCCTCCTGTCTGTCAGGAGCCGATCTTGCTGTGGCCTTGATCATCGTGGAAGTCTGATTGTCCGTTAGCTTCTTGATACATCGCTGTCCTGCCACAATATTACAGACCTGCCAGAGACGGAGAGAAATCAGTTTGTGTACCCATGGATTCTCTGTCTTAAGCCTTTACCAAGCTATTGTACATCCTCAATTCATGGAAAACTAAAAATTGTTATACACTGACGTTATCTCCCAGAATATTATAGAAATCCACAGGTTTAAAATTCTATATTCTTTTTTTTTTCTTTTCTTTAAGCTAATTCAAGAGATCGGCAAAAGAAAATTTAATGTATCTTACCTCAAGTGGCAAGTATGTATGCTTTTGTTCTTGCCCCACTTGGAGACAGGGAAGATGGGGATATTTCAGCTGCAGGCTATACTTTTGCTTAAAATATTGAGCTACAGTACATTCCATAGCTTGACCATTTTCTAGCTGCAAAGGAAAGCTACAGGAGAGAATATTTTTAGAAATCTAAGTTCTCCTTTTTTTTTCCCTAAACAAATAAATGAACAGTCACTTAAAAAATAAGGGTCAGTCAGGGGGAGTGTAGCTCAGTGTGGGTAGAATATACTTAGCATGCACGAGCCCCTGGGTTCAATCTCCAGCACCACCAAATAAAAAAAGAAGTAAGTCAATAAATAACAAAAACAAAGGTCAATCTTTCATTTTTTCCCTTGAGTCATTTTAGTGTTGTACAGAACAATTCCATTGAAATTTACCATATTCATTGAAGCTTAAATGAGAAAAAATTTTAATTTAAATAGCTGGCAGAGTGACTCAAATGGTAGAGTGCCTGCCTAGCAAGTGTGAGGCCCTGAGTTCAAACTCCAGTACCGCCAAAAAAAATTTTTTTTAGTTAAAATTTTAAAAGAATTTGTAATGAACCAGGAGAATAGACTGAAATGGTAGAGTGCCTACCTAGTAAGTGTGTGGCCCTGAGTTCAAACCCCAGTACCACTAAAAGAAAAGATAATAATACAATCTCTTGTTGGCTTCTTATAGATGATTAAATTCAAATTAGGACTTGGTGTCATCCACATAGGAGTTGTATTTGCTGAAGAGAACTTTTTCTCAAATGAGTGTAACATGGTTGTTAGGGATACATTTGTAAATCTCCAAATTTTCAGATTCCTAAACCAGGACAAATACATGTAGATTTGGAGGCAACAAAACCAAATACATGAAACTGAGATTGTGCCATAATATGTAGCATGAACTGGAGGGCATGATTTAAGAGACTCTTCATTTGGCTCATCTAAGTGATTAAATTATCTCAAATACTTAGTACTTAAAAATCACAAATACTTAGTACACATGCTTTCTTAACCATTTCAGACCCACAAAGGAACAATGCTGTGAGGATTATCTATGTGATATTTAAGTCTATATGCTTCAAATCTTTGAGCAAAGACTATATAGGGCTGTATATCTAGCTATTCTGACAGGATCATGTGAAGTAATTCATAACAAAGACACAGTTCTTCTTGAAACAAATGTCACAGTTCTCACTAGTGACTTCAAAAGGTTTTGATAACATCTTTTTCCTAGAGAATGAAGTCAATAGAATAATATGAACAGTACATGAATACTGCTGTACAATTCTTTGGAAATTTATGTACATTTGTACATATGGTAATTTCGAAGAGTTTGTTTGAGCCGGACTGAATAAAAAGACCTCATTTGTCCAGAAGGCATCTGAAAATTTTGACTTTCTAGAACAAAGCCCTCCAGATGATCTTGATATATTCTGAAGTTTGAAAATTAAGAACCATGGACGTTAAAACAAAGTTAGAATATAAGGACAGAGAATAAAAGAATGTCTGAGTAACCAAAATAACTTAATACCATATACTTAGAAAAATCAATATTTATGTTTCTGCCAGACACAAGTTTAATGATCTTGACTATAAGAATAAAACTTACGTACATAGTAATTTTAAAGGATTTTCATATATATTGTCTCACTTAGGCACATACTCAATGGATTAGAAGTTGGGTAATTAGAAAAGTAACACTAAGGAGGTGGAAAGGAACACATGCCTGGAGGCATGCCATACATCCTGACATCAAGAAGAAGTGACAACTACAAAGAGAGGGAGAAAAATCTACACAAAAATGCAAGCTTTTTTTTTTATGGTAGTACTGGGGTTTGAACTCAGGGCCTCACACTTGCTAGGCAGGTGTTCTACTACTTGAGCCCCTCCTCCATCTCCTCTCCTGACACTCTTTTATGACCTCTAGTTCTCAATACACCCTTCAGGCCATGCATTCAGAATTATAACAGTGTAATACATGATGCTGCACCCTTAAACAAAAGTTGATCTACGTTTAGCACACTCAGTTTAAAAGGTGAACTGAAGGTGGGTGCTGGTGCTTCACGCCTGTTATCCTAGCTGAGATATCCTAGGCTGAGACTGGGAGGATCAAGGTTTGAGGCCAGCTCAGGTAAATAGTTCAGAAGACCTCATCTCCAAAATAACCAGAGCAAAATAGACTGGAGGTGTGGTTCAAGAGATTGAGTGCCTGTTTTGCAAGAGTAAAGCCGTGAGTTCAAACCCCAGTCCCACCAAAAAAGGAAAAAAAAAAAAAAGCTGAAGAACACAGAAACATATTTTATAAATATCTCTATCAAAAATATCTAAAACATTTTTTAAAACACTGGTGATAAAATGGAAGATTCTGGTGGTCTTGAAAATTATAGTACAGTATACTGATTTCTCAAATGATTCTAGCAGCTTCTCTGTTATCAAATTATTATATTATTTTAGATGAGAATAACATACGTTTGATGACTAGCTGGCCGTCTAGTCACATTACAAACTCGGTATTTTCGTTTCATCTGTCCACAGTGAGTCACCTCAACTTTGAGACCTGAAGTTAAAAAAAAAAAGCCAAAATACTAGTTTTAATAGAAGTAATTAAAAAATTCAAATATTGTCTTCAAAAAGTTTTGACACTGGACAGCAGGAAAAAAGTTGCAAGAATTTAGCCGGGTGCCAGTGGCTCATGCTACTTGGCTATTTGGGAGGCTGAGATCAGGAGGATCACGGTTAGAGGCCAGACTCTGTAAAAAGTTCATCAGCCCTCATCTCAATGAAAAAAAAACTGGCATGATGGCCAGCACCTGTCATCCCAACTACAGTGGAAAGTGTAAAATAAGAGCATAGAGGTCCAGATTAATCTAGGCAAAAAGCGAAACCCTATCTCCAAAATAACCAGAGCAAAAGGGGCTGGAGTTGTGGCACCGACCTAGAAAGTATGAAGCCCTAAGTTCAAAGCATAGTACTGAGCTAGGTGCCAGTGGCTCATGCCTGTAATCCTCGCTACTCAGGAGACAGAGATTAGGAGGATTGAGGTTCCAAGGCAGCCCGGGCAAATAGTTCAAGTGACCCTATCTCAAAAAAACCATCACAGAAGAAAAAGGGCTGGTGGAGTGGCTCAAGGTGTAAACCCTGAGTTCAAACCCCAGTACTGGA